TCTGACTGTACATCAAATCCATTCATTTTATCAGCTTTAAAAACCTAGTAATAAGAATAAAGTTGTCAGACACATGTAGTTGGCTATGACGTTGATTCACAAACTTAAATTGCTACTCTATAAACAACCAGACTTGACAAAAATAAATTGATCAAAGTTAAACTGTAAATAGCTTCCGTGTGATCAGAGCATGTATTATAAAGGTATAACTTTGCCTAATAAGTGAATGCAATTGCATGTCGGTCAAATCATCAAAAAAATTGATCAAGATGTCTGAGAATCTATGACATACTGTATATGGAAACACATGATTTTGATATGGGCATTTTAAAAAAACATGCGAGGACACTATACTTGTAAACAAAGGGCACTAATGAGGCACTCCATGAATGCAGTCTCGTCTGCAGTTGAATAATTTTTGCTTTGATTTTCTTATGTTTTTTTTCCCCCAATGCGACTTAATTTCACTTGTTTTTTTTTTTAATTCTTGGTAATTAGTGTCATTAGCGATAGAGTAGTAAAAACCGCAATTAACCTCAGTGCAGCAAATCGGGATACATCTTCCTGACACAATGGGCAAATTTCGCTATTTTCGCTGACAAGTAAAATCTACTAAATTAAACCTACGTGAACATGTAAAGTAACAACAGACTGTTTCCTTGACAGATTCTTGAAATTAAATCATCAAAATAGTACAACTAAAATGTCTGTACAACATACCTAGAACAGATAAATGAAAACATTGTAGTTTAATGTTCGTCCAGACTTTGAGCCCTTGAAAGTAAGTGATCCAGCCCTTACATATGCCAACGATTGAAATTTGTTTAATTGCTATCGAATTATCGCTCAAAAAAAAATTTCATTTGTGAGATGTGCTTTTGATACAAACTGAAGATCACGATCGACCCTACACAAAACTACCGCCATTTTGTCTTCCTTGTCCTCGTTAGACAAAAACAAAAAACTCGCATATTTACTATTTGTTTAATGAGTGCATTTTTGTTTAAAAATATCAAACAAGAATAAACACTAAGTAAAATAGGAATCAACTGCTTCGTTTTGTTTGAGTAAGATGGAAACCATGCGAAAACAATTGTGAAATACTAATGTCTGCTCGAGGAGAAGACACTGGGAGTCATGTGCAAAGAGAATGTTTATAAATTAGATCACATTGGAAGTGCTTTCAGTCACGTTGTGTAGCTTCAATGCGTAAAATAGAAAATTTATATCTTGATTAAAACTGACAAACTTCCTTGCTGTTGCTGTCGGGTGTCTGCCTTATACATGGATTAAGTGTAGACGTGAGGATTCAGCTTTCCTTTTCTCTGCTCGTGGCGTCGCAATAGCGGTGAAGGTCAGTACTGGGTTGAACAGACAGCCATGGCCACTATATTTTGAATGATCATAAATAATTTTTGAACCCAATAATAGTGATCACTGTGATTATTATATAAATTTCTTGCAATGTCTGGAACGATACTGGAAAAAAATCGTTGATTTCCTTCTATATTCATGCTTCAAAGTAGGCCGAAGTATTCGCAGGTGAATACGAGTATCCAGATAATAAGTTAGGATCGATGAGTTCTCACGAATTGTTCTGTTCTGATTCATCATTGCAAAACGACCCAGCTTGAGGGAAACAGTATCGTGGAATAAAAGAACAGTATTGGACCAGATACCCTTAAAAGACCTGATGAAAACACTGCAGAATCACGGGCGAAACAAAAGTTACGCGGCTATTGTCTAAGCAACGCAGGCCCGAGGAGAACACTGTACATGTAACCAGCACATTTACGAATCAAGATTGGCAGAAAGTTGTACGGCATCTGTCTTCGATTTTGTCTATTGATGAATATGACGCACAAAGTGAAATTGAACTTGCATTCATGAAAATCGGAAAGGGTACTGCCTTTTCGTCAAACTGAAAAAAATGGCCCCATACTCCCCATACTTGCATACATTTGATGTTTTTAGTCGCTGTATCTGCTCAAATAACATCCATCATGATATAATAAATCATTATATACTAAAATTCGCAAATTTGCAGACCTTCCAATGAAATATTACCAGTTTTTTTTTTGAGACAGAATACGTTATCGCAATATGCAAATTAGGCTACTCACCCTAGTCAAACATTTGTTAAGAAACTTTAAAGACTCAAGTTATAAATTAACAAGCCATGCATGGCACAGTCCCCATTAGTTATCAAATTTAAGATAAATAGTTGTTTATAGTAATATGGCTGGAAAAAAAACCATGTCAGGAATATGATTTTTTTAACATTAAAATTGACATTTGTATCTGATCGTCAAACAAGTACTTGTCCATATTGAGAGATATTGCTCTGGAACAGCATTCAAAATCAGCCATTTTGAATACATGTATATATATAACGTGATGTATAACGAATATATAAAAGTTGAATATAATCAGTCAAAGCAGTTCAGAGATATGGCTCTAGAAGCCCAATCATTAAAACAAAGTGGCCGCCAGTCAGCCATTTTGAATCCAATCTGAAAAATAAAATGACGTGCATCAGGAACCCGTAATGTTTAATGTATGTACCAAGTTTGAACGAAATCCATCCATAAATGCCAGAAATGCTTGATATTTGAGGATTTTTTTAGCACAAAAATGACCACCATTCAGCCATTTTGAATAGGATCGTCAAACCAATAAATCTGTTTATCTATGACATGATGTATAATGAATATTTAAAATTTGAATATAATCAGTCAAAACAAGTCTGAGATATGGGTTTGGAAGCCCATTCATTAAAACAAAAAGGCCGCCAGACAGCCATTTTGAATCTGATCTGAAAAATAAATGATGTGCATTAAGAACCTGTAATGTCTAATATATGTACCAAGTTTGAACAAAATCCAATCATAAATGCTTGATATTTGATGATTTTTTAGCACAAAAATGGCCACCATTTGGCCATTTTGAATAGGATCATCAAACCAATATATCTGTTTATGACATTTGAACATAATCAGTGAAAGCAAGTCAGAGATATGGCACGAGAACCACATTCATTAAAACAAAATGGCTGCCAGTTGGCCATTTTAAATCTTATCTGAAAAACAATGTTATTTACATCAAGGTCCCATAATGCCTAATGTATATACCAAGTTTGAACAAAATCCATCTGTAAATAGCCAAGAAATGCTTGATTTTTAGGATTTTTTAACACAAAAATGGCAGCCATTCGGCCATCTTGAATCAGATTGTAAAACAAAATGATATGCATCTAGGTCTTATAATGTCTAATGTATATATCAAGTTTGAACAAAATTCATCTGTAAACAGCCGAGAAATGCTTGATTTTGAGCACAAAAATGGCCGCCATTCGGCCATCTTGAATCAGATCGTGAAACAAATTGACATGCATATGTATAATATCATGTATGATGTATGTGTGAAGTTTGATTGTGATTGGTCCAGGCATTTCTAAGATACAGATACTGCGTCCGAACAGGGACTACTTAATGCAATAATTGACTAATTAATATGCATGGAATTGCACCAAAATCTAATCAGCGCATCTACTCATCATATATTAGCTGTGTGCCAAATTTCATTTGAATTGAAATTGTAGATCTTGAGTTATCAGTGGAACAAATTTTAGTCGCAAAGTCACAGACACCGGTACCACATAAACTCTGTTTCACGGGAGCTAAAAATGAACACTAATGCTGTGGCGGTAATTCTCGTAGATAGTCAACATTACAAGACAATTTTACTTTGTTTAAAGAAGTTTAAAGAAGAAATTGGGGATCAAATTACATGTTTGTCGTCATTGTTCATGCTATCGGGTAATTTTTCAAGATCTGAATTTTTACAAAGGTAAAAATGGTGCTCTCGGTGACTTGGAATGAAAAAGTCTTATTTTATTACTGACACAAATTCCAATATTGTCAAAACTTGACATAATTTAGTGAGTTTTCAGTATCTCCTATAATGCATTGCATATATGTGCAATAAGATGCCTAGTAGCAAGGCATCAGTTTACCAACAGCCAATCATATTGCTTCGTTCATCAACACGCTTGACCAAGCTATCAAAATCCTCGGGCGAGTTAAGTCACAAGACACTATTAAAGACGCGCACCACCATGTATTTCTATAGGCTCTGGCGAGCTGCTGTGAAACGCCAGTCGAGAAGTCGGTGAAAATAGCTAAAATCGATAAAACATCACAAACTTAACTTTGATATAATCCTAAACAACCAAATTTAAATATGTTGCATATGTAAGGGGTAGTCTTGTTACACGGTTCAGGGTTGTTAACAACCATCCCAAAGTACTGTTTTCTGAGAGTTTTTGGCCATTGTTTTCACCATGATGGTTGCCAGGCGGTGGAAATGCCCGCACTGAGAATAAATGATATGATATCCATACATCAGGAAACTCACAAATATTCAGACCAAAGCCATTCAAGTTACTTAGTTCTAAGTCTGATGCAGGGTTCTCCACGAGGGGTATTTACAGGGCGCCGCGCCCTGTTATCTGAAATTGGTGCCCTGTTTAAATTGTCAGCGCCCTGTTATATTTCCTGTGCGCCCTGCATGGTCCCAGACAAGAATTGTTTACAAAACAGGCCAACACT